TTCTCCGCCTTCCGCCACTGATGTTTTCACGTCACTTATCCAGTTAGTAATTTATGTTGCCTTTAAAATGCAATTTTTAGAGCCGAGTGGCCACTGCTGATTGTGTGTCCCTCGTCAGTCAAAAGTGCATGGAAAGGGGTTTGTTTTCATTTGCTACAGTGCTCTTCCGCCGCCAAACTGCACCTGTCTCTTTTCAGCAAATTAACAAGTTTCTCCCTGCCATCCAACGAATACATCTTATCGACAAAGGAACAGATGTCTTGCCAGATGCTCGAACATCTAACACGGTAATGTCAGTTCACGTACAGTTCGGTACATACTTATAACTCATGAGCACAAACTGGCATGCGCACTTTCTGTCCTTTCGTAGGTGTCACCATTTTTGCTAGATGGTTAGTCCTAAAGAAAAGATCTGCTAGGATATAGTCTACGCGATTGGCCGCTCAGCCTTTCTGCTTCCAAAGAATAATGAACAAATTGACTCTAGATCCCAGCCATCGTAATTTCTGTTGGATCTGATGAGCATATTACGGTGTGGGCTGGAGTTTAAAATTGATTATTCCGCGAACGAATGTATTATGTGAGCTGCCGTTTGGGTAATGCCGTAGCTAAGATAGCCCAATTAGTATTCATATTAAAAGACCATTTACCCATTTGCTCAGATGCTGCTTTTAATAACAAGTCCCGAGTCGGTATTCGAGTTCTTCACTGAGTTATCAATGAAAATGCTTCGTTACAGGTTGTCATCATGAGTTACGACCAGATGGTCATCAAGAAAAAGGAGCTGGAAGCTGCCTGTTACTACGTCATTATATTTGTAAGCTGTGCAAGATTTTTTTTTGAGTCATATACGTCATAACCATTCTATTTTAGGATGAGTCACATTTGCTGAAGGATGGAAAAGCAAAGCGTACGCAAGCGGCTTTGCTACTGTCGGTATGTTATCAAGTAAACCGTTTTTGGCGGTTTTTTCTTGTTGAAAGTTCTCTTTGCAGAGAAAAGCGTCAAGGGTGATTCTTTTATCTGGTACACCAGCTCTGTCACGACCAGCTGAGCTCTTCTCACAGATACGACTAGTAAACGAGCGGCTCTTCCCAAACTTCCATCAGTTTGCTATCCGTTATTGTGACGGAAAACAAGGCCGATTTTGCTTTGAGGTTTGCAAGTCAAATATAACTAGGCGGCTTTTTCATGGTGCAAGATTCTAGGCTAAAGGGTGTACCAATAGCGAGGAGTTGACCGCCATCCTGTCCAAGAGAGTAATGATACGGCGATTGAAGTCGCAAGTGCTTACCGATCTGCCAGATAAGAGGAGAGAGGTAGGGAATATCACATTTGCGTATGATCGGATGAGTTTGGTATGCCTGCTTCTTAGGTGGTATACCTTTCCGGCGACAAAATCGATGCTCGCATGAGCAGTCTGCAGAAAGCAAAGAAGGCATATGAGACGACTAAACAACAGAACTCTGTAAGTGATCGAAAAAAGTTTACTTATTTAGGATATGAGTCATTTTTGTCATTTAACAAAAAACCAGCTTGTTTCTAGGACGCAAAAGGCTCACACGAGTGTCTACTTGAATATTTTAGTCTGACAGGAATAGTGAAGGTGTGTCCGATTTCAGATTAGTTTGTTATCTTTGAATCTTTATTTCTGTTTGCATATCAAAGACTACTAGTAACTTTCAGGCAGCTGCGGTTTGCTCCCATATACTTGACAATTACTTCTATCCAGATGCTCCTAAAAGGAAAGTGCTAATTTTTGCGCATCATCAAATCGTGCTAGATACAGTACAAGTCGAGGTGAATAGTGTTATATTTTCATCTTCATTGAAAATTTGTTTCGTATAGGTCCAAAAACGGAATTTGAAATCGATAAGAATTGATGGGCAGACATCTTCAAAAGATCGTGGAAATTTTTGTCAAGCTTTTCAGGTATTTTATCTTACTTTAGAACATGCTACCTTTTTTGTACATGCAACTGATTTTTGGCTAAATGACTTTTTATAGGATGATCCAGAAGTTGAAGTTGCTATACTGTCCATGACAGCAGCTGGAGTTGGAATAACGTTGACTGCTGCGTCTGTTGTAGTGTTTGCGGAACTGCATTGGAACCCCGGGACTTTACTGCAGGTTTAGACAGCATCAATTTTTTCGGTGTAACATATAAGATATCATGCTTGGTGATTTCCTAGCATTTAATAGTCAACGAAGAAGGTACAATTTTTTTCGAGATACTGTCTCTGCATTTTGCTATGCACCTTTTGCTTGAGCCCTTCCCGCGAATTTTTTGTGAACCATGATGCTTAACTGACACCCAAATCTAACTTGCGATCGGATTTTCTCTCCGGTCAAAGTTCCTTTCAGGCTGAGGACCGAGCGCATCGTGTCGGGCAGAAGGATAGTGTTTTCGTTCAGTACCTCATCGCTAGAAATACAGCCGACGACATTATTTGGCCTTTGGTACAGAGAAAGCTTGACGTGCTGGGTCAGGTAAGCTTTTGGTAGCATATCGCGGTAAATCTTGTTTTGATTATCTATCTAGGTAAACCTATCAAATGAGACGTTCCGTAACGCTGAGTCGTCCCATCTGAAGTGCGAAACACAAAGCAGTCATCCGAAAGAAATTACGGACTTCTTCAACCATGGTGATCCGGAGTGTAGCGCCAAACGTGCGCGGTTGGATGACTAGTGTATCATTTTTGTATACTGATCTCCCTTATATTGCCTCTACCATACGGGATCTTTACTGATGTGTAAATTGTCGCTCCAGTGTTTTATACGTGCATGCTATTGCCATTTGTTACCTTATCAAATAAATTTACCTCATGATCATGTGTACATGAAAATCTAGCTGTCTCTACATTAAGTTACCAAAATCTCAGTTCCGGAAATAGATCTGAATAAATCCTACTATAATAACGCGCTAAGGCCGTCTGTGTGT